AACGTTATTGTCCTGTACCGTAGACCAGTAAAAAATTGTACAATTTGTAGCTTTAAAAAGAGCAAACCTGTAGAAATTCTTTAAAAAAGTTGTCTACCACATCTTCTAAGTTAGTTCTAAAGAAATTAATTAAAATTAAGCGTTTCATTACATTTCCTGGCTTTTTTAGGAGAAAAATGATGGCGCAAAATTCTAGAAATCGGACTTTAGAGCAATTTGGGGGCTAAATTTTGAAAATAAAAACTTTGAAGGATATTTTGTTTTATTCTTCTACAAGAATATAGCTCTATGAGTGCAAAAAAACTTAAAACGGTTTTATTATCGCACGTATTGATAGGAAAACAAGCCTGTTTAGTTGGTCTACGGTACGGACAAAAAATTTAACTTCCAGTGATAAAAGAGGCCAAAAAAAAAAAATTCTGTTGAAAACGAAGATTGACCACTATTAAAATCGACTTTCCAAGAGTATGAGGACTTCAGAAAACATGCTGAAGTTTTAAAATAACTAAAGTCACTTTTTTAAAAAACGATGGCTCCGAGAGCAAAACTTATTTGATTCTACTCGGTAGATGGTGCGCACCAGTCACCATTTGATCCGAAATTGATTGAAATTTGAGCGTGTAACCAGCACAATAGAAACCCACAAGAAAGTCCCACATGCAAGTAAAAGCCATAGGGGAGAGGGTCGGGCTTACAAGTTAGTTCACCGGTCGCCCGCCGCCGATCTGGCAGCGTTGGCGTCGGATGTTGCCAGTTGGGCGAAAGCCGAGTACGTGCGCGGAATATCGATGCGCGTGCGCAGTCCGGTGAGTAGTCTGCTTTGCTAAGCTTGGACCGCGCAAGTGCTGCAGAGATGGGTGAGAGAGATACGCGGTTTGTGCGCAGCGATGTGCCCGACATCATTTCCCACCTCACAGCTCCGGTTCTAATTTACACGGCCGTTTTCACACATACGTCGCTACTCGCACGGCACAGAGCCTTTTGCTTTTGCTCCCAAGTACCTGGAGAAGGATTCGCCGTTTGATGGATCAAAGCGATCCAGGAACGGAGACGAACTTTTTTCGCTGTAGTCCGCATTCGGCAGTTCTAGGCACAAAATCAATGCGCCCTACGCAGAGACAGTGTACTTTATGGATCGTCTGCGATAGTGGTTCGATGTATCGTTTGGTTCGAAACAATAGAACATAACTCAAACAAAGATTTTAGGATTCAAGTTGGAAAATCTGAAAATTAGAAGATTTCGAACAAAAACACTTTCATTGGCATTTGGTACTCGAAAGAATGAAAAATCAATCACAAAAGACCCGTTCCCTCAGATTTCCAAATTGACTTTTGAGCCTATGTTTACATGTTGAACCGATCGACATCGATGCAATCTCACCTGTTTGATGTATCGAATACGATCTATAGAGACCCCGGAAAGCTATCTTCCTCATAGTGTATAAGTTTATTTTCGAAGTCAACTCTCAGATTCGCCTGATTAAAAGAGTAGAGCGATTGGTTTCGCAATCCTAAGCTGATGTGTAAAAAAATCAGTTCAAAAAAATTTAGCACAGTAATTGTTTCTGATGTGTGAGGGTGATTTCCACCTAGAATTTAATTTTCGATACTCCGACCTGACCAAAAAATGTTACCGTTGATAAGCGACTCTTCGCACACCACCCGTCAGAAGTTATTTTCTCGAATGAGGTCACCATGAATCGGCATGAAAGGTCAAAAGGCACGAAGCGTCAAACGGACAGAATAAAAAATCATATCTTGTTTTCTTCTTCCGCATAAAATTAACGGAGGACGAAGCAGTTCGATCGACGTTTATATGACTCAGACAAAAGCAACGGTGGATCGAATGCGAAGTCAAATAGGAATCGGCAGGTCCAGTGATCAACAGCCCAAACCGAACAATCAACACACTTGATTCGATCGCTTTTAGTCGAGACGAAATTATGTCAACTTCGACAAGAATCCTCGATCGCATGCCAGTGTGTGTCCGTCGGAGCCCATCTGGAAAAGAGGATGGACTCTGTTCGCATGATAGCAACGAATTTTCTATCAACCGAATCGAATATTTTTCTGTCCTAATGAAGAACGCCGTAAGAGCGTTCCGACATTGCCAAATTGCTATCGATAAAGTACGAATTTTCAAGGAAACTTATTAAATAATGGAAAAAAACACACACTTCTTGGCTTGGTTTTCCCCGCGAAATGGTGTGGACCCAGCACGATTTCTTCACCTCATTAAATATATTCCTTCTATTTATCTATTCAAATATAGTTATTTATTAGTAAATATATTCTGCCTCTTTACTTACTAGTACTTCATGAATAGATTCCTCCTCTTTATCTCCTTAAAAATATTTCAAAAAACTTGATTTATCAGCACAGCATTTAATTTTTTTTCTCCGTATTCTTAAAAGAATTTTACACCTAAAAACTAAAACTAAACCCTTTTTTTAGAAGTTCGATCCAACGTATCTGTAATTTTCCAGAGATTACATTCATAATGTTATTCAAAGATATATATCATCTTATCTACAGCGGCGTGGTGTGCTTTGCGATACATCGATTGATCTGCCATTTAAACCTGTGGAAAAGGATCGATCATCAGGGCGTCCGCAACGAACACCTTAATAATCGATTATTTGCCATAGCTTCACATGGGGAAATATCGATATATCTCGAAGCACGCTTACTGCTTATCTAGGGCAAATTTGGCAACGTCCGTGTGTCATACGGCGTTTTTCCGTTCCGACTCCACGACGCGGCATGATTTATATTCGGCGTAATGGCCCGGCCGAGAGCGCACTCAAAATTTGCCTTTGCGTCGTAATTAATTGTTCCCAGGGAAAGGATGATTAATTCTGATTAACGTTGAAAGGTTTGACTAAAAAACGCGCGCTGAGGGGAGCGAGACGGAGCGACGCGCGCAGCCCCGCGGAGCGAGAGAGACGGAGCCAGGGTTTCGGATCGCGGCGGATTCCTGGCATTTTTCCCCGCGCCGGGCACTTTTTTCGGGGCGACGTGGCAACGCCCGCGGGCGGGAGGGAAAAAGTATTTTATATGAAAATCAGAGCCGAGTTTATAATGAGATTCCGGGCTCAAAAACGAGTTCAGATGTTGGGATCCGTCTTTTTCTTTCCTTTTCCCTCCCGCGGGCGCTCTCCGTTGACTAGGGCGTTTGGCGGTTTCGCTCGGCCCCGGCCGCGGCCGGCGTTCGCGGTTACCACTTGCACTTCGCAAAGAACGTAACTACATTCCAAAGTTGCCAAATTTCCCCATCGCACATTGCATTTCCACCGGGGGAATTTCGGGCGTTTCTGACTGAAAATTTCACCGATTTTTACTCTGATCTCATGCAAGAATCAGGCACATTTTCGACAAAAATTGCACAGGTACAATCTTGTGAATTGTTGAATTGTTTGCGTCAATTTTGCAACCGTGGAATGAAGGTTCTTCGTTCCCCCCACGAAAGAACGTAACTAAATTTCGCTGTTGCCAAATGTTCCCTCACACATTGCATTTTTACTAGGCGAATTTTGGACGAATATAACTAAAAATTTCATTGATTTTTCTTCTGATCTCATGTCCGAAGTCAAACAAATTTGGAGCGAGAATTGCACGGCTACAATCTTGTAAAACATTGAATAGTTTAAGTCAGTTTTGCAACTTTCGAATGGAGTTACGCTCTTTCGTTGGAGAAACAGCGTTCTTAGAGAGACACTGAGCGAAAGTGGTCTCTATATTCAAGAGAAACAGGAGAAGTCTCCATAGACTTTAACGCTGGGCAAGAAAAGTCAACCAAATGCAGAAGTCAATTCAATGATGTTGTCTAATACGGAGCCATTGGGGTAGTAAAAGGGTTGGATATAGTTTGCTACATCAATGCCGCCCCCCCCCCTCTAGTTTAGAGTTAAAGATCGTAACTCCATTCTTAGTCCTATACATACGTGCCAGCTTTACCATGAATATCATGTATCGTTGGATCAAATTAAAAGGTGTCTCTAAAGCTTTTTCCTGTTCATCTTCTCAAGTTTCTGATGTTAGCTTAAGATTTGATTTATCCCTGGGATTATCGAGAAAACTTAAGAAACTGATTCCAAAGGGAAAGCATATTGGTATTATGGCAGCCGCAGCAGGTAAGCATCAATGTTTGGGAAATTTCAACTCCATCGAGTACCTCAGGTAAAATTTTAAGTTTCATTTGTTGGGGAGGTCATGGTATATATTCTTCCACCGGAGGGATCCCAAATAGAAATATGGCGTGACTCACCTTTAAAATGCAGTCTCCCTTCGCGACGTCTTCCTTGATGGTGACGTTGTAGAAGCTGTGGTCGAAGATGGGTTCGTTGTCGTTCACATCGTGGATGGTCACAAGCACTGTCGCGGAGGACGAGAGCGGCGGCACTCCGTTATCGGTAGCCACGACGATCAACTGCGGCACAGGGTCGGTTTCACAATCCACGTGGAGTCTGGTGGTGATGAGACCGGACTTGGGATCGATTTGGAACCAGTTCGAGTGCGACTCGGACGACTCCTGGATGGAATAGGTCAGCTCCGAGTTGGTCCCTTCGTCGCGATCCTTGGCCGTCACCTGGAACACCGAGGTGCCGGGCTCGGCCACTTCGAGGACGTTCACGTTGTAGACCTGCTTGTCGAACTCGGGCGCGTTGTCGTTCACGTCCGTCACGCGGAGGTGGAACGTCCGAGACGCGTGGAGGGGCGGCGACCCCGTATCCGTCGCGATCACACTGAGGGTGTAGTTGGGCCGCACTTCCCGGTCGATGGGAAGCGAGACGATAACCAGGTAGATGATGTTGTCCTGGGTGGCCAGTCCGAAATGCCCTTCGCCACCCTCCAAGGTAACGTTGACGTTCGAGTATTCGGTTTTGGAGTCGGGGTCGTTGACGGAGATCCGGGCGACGAACTCGCCGGGCTGCGCCATTTCCGAGATCTTGGGCGTGGCGTCGTCGCTGAGGAAGATGACGTTGATGGTCGGCTGGTTGTCGTTGACGTCCGTCACCTTGATGGAGACGAAGGCGGTCGTCTCGAGAGGCTGGACGCCGCGGTCCTTGGCGACGACGACGAGCTCGTGGATCTCCTTCGTCTCGAAGTCGAGCTGCTTGTCGACGGAGATCTGCCCGGTCTTGGGGTCGATGCGGAAGAGGCCTTCGCGATCGGACTGCCGTCGGTTGATGGAATACTCGACTTCGCCGTTCTCGCCGGCGTCGATGTCCGTGGCGAAGACCTGGAGGACGCTCGTGCCGACGGTGGCGTTCTCGGGCACTTGGGCGAAGTAGCGGGACTGGTTGAAGATGGGCTGATTGTCGTTGACGTCCTGGATGGTGATGTTGACGGTCATGGAGCCGCGGAGGGGCGGACTCCCGCCGTCGAGGGCCTCGATGATGAGGCTGTAGCCGGCGGTGGTCTCCCGGTCGAGGAAGCCGTTGATCTGGAGGTCCAGGTAGAGGACGCCGTCCCGCTCCCGGTGGGACGAGAGGCGGAAGGCGTTGTTGACGTTGCCGGAGACGATGTTGTAGCGTTGGGTGTTGTAGATGCCGAGGTCCAGATCGCGGGCCGGGTGGAGGGTGCGTTTGACGTCGCGCGGGGTGTTCTCCGGGAATTCGATGCTCATGACGGGGCTCGGGAAGGTGGGCGCGTTGTCGTTCTCGTCGAGGACCTGGACGACGACGCGGATGTTCTGCCCGCTGGCCGGGATGGCGACGAGGGAGTAGGCGGCCCTCGTCTCCCGGTCCAGCGCCACCTTGGTCCGGATCTCGCCCGTGTTGGCTTCGATGCTGATGTCCGTGTCGACAGCGCTTCCGGGGACCGGGACGATGAGGTACGGCGGCCCGCTGTCCGACGACGAGCCGTCCCCGATGAAGCCCACCCGGGTGCCCACCGGGGCGCCCTCCGAGATATCCAGCTCGCGCAGGTGCTCGCTCCCTGCGCCGGCACTAGCAGCGGCCAGTACGAGCCACAGACTCACGCACAGCTGCACAGCGCCACTCATAACGTCACCACGGCGCCGACCTTTGTTTTGGCTTCATTCCTCCACACCCCTGCAACACACAAAATACCACGCGAATATTACTCATCCGCTCAAAACAGACAAGACAATCAAGAAATAGATGACGAGGCATCAAGGTTCCCCGAAAAAATCAAAAGCCGGCAACGGAAAAGGGAAACGTCCCTGGAGCTCAAAGCGTAAATTATTATATCGTACGTGCAATGTACATACGTTGACACATCTTTTTCTCCTTTCTTTTAGCTCAAAGAAAGCTTTAAGCGAAAAGTCTTCTGAAATAAGAAAAAAAGTTCTGGCTGCGAAAAATTCCAAGTTTTGTAGCAAAATTTCCCGACTCTCGTAAGTTTTCCCCGACTTTTCGAGGAAATGTTACCCTCTTTCCACGCTCAGCCATCTGCGGATCGATAAGGAAAATATGGAGCGGGGCTTCCTTCCGCTAGTATCTGGCCAATATGAACTGAGGTGAGGCTGAGACTGACGAATGAGAGACGGAAGATGCAAGAGGAATAAGGGGAGGGGCGGACGGGAGAGGCAGATCGGGTCGAGAGTCGAGAGCGGAGGAACCGGGCCTCGGAACAACAATGTTACACAAGAGTGAGATTGTTTGTCAATGGAATGCCAGAAGAAAAAATAGTATGCCGTATGGTAGTGGCACCTCGCACAGTGGAATCAATTTTCCGTTTCGCCGACCGGCAGACCAGGTGGAGGAAATGGGCCTACTTGCCTGGGTAAGTAGGCCCAGAAAAAAATGACTTCATTTAAGGTGAATCTATTACAGTAAGCAAACATGGAGATAATATTGAACTAATATCGCTCAAATACTAGTTTGACTTTCAATTTTAGGCAGAAAACGCCCGAACGCAGAAAAGGGCGATCCAGCACGCCTGTAACACATTTCAGCTGTTCATTCCTAAAAAAATCTCATTTGGAGATCCCGAATTCAAGCCATTGGCGGATCCAGCAAATTGGCAACATTGTTTTCCTCCTTTTACACCTATGGGAATTTATCGATTCTTGGAAGGGCCAGGTGCTTCGACAAGAATCGATTATTTAATATAGGTTTAAATACTGATTCAAGCTGAGTTGGAACGTGCAATCAACCGTTTGGTTTGAGTAGCCGATGCAATATTTCCGGTTCTCAACTTTGACCTTTATTTTAGGGTTTGCAAAATATACAAGAGAAAAATCAGCTGAAATGTGCCTTTGGGTGGGACGGATCCTTATTGGGCCAATTCTCACTGAAACCGGTAATATAGCGGAGTTTATAGATGACCCAAAGTGTTGTCAGATCCGTCAGGTCTCAAGTATCCATAAGAGATACTTGCTGACGGTGAGAATACATGCCTGATTGGGACATTAAAGAGGGTGAAATGGACTACATTTCGCAATTTGGAACTATAAATTCTGGCTCATCTGAAAAAATACTTATGTGCATAGGGAAACTAATGGCACATACGTTATTTTTAAACCAGGCCAGAATTCATAGTTCCAAATTACAAAATGCAGTCCAAATAGGCTAGATACGAATAACCTTCCACTGTCTCAGGAACGCCTCTCGCTCTTGTAGCTTTAGAGGATTATTATTATTGTTATATAAGAATAGCTTGGTTCAAAATCCGAAAAATCCAGTAAATAGTTCAAACAAATTTCAACTGGAACTTTAAGAGTTAACTCGATTAAAATTCTCCAGACTTCAGAAATTTAGAGGGAAGAAGAGAGGGAGATGCTAGGCGCCATCTTGAATTCTGCACTGACAATAGAGTGTCTCTTCCTCAAAGAGAGTGATTGCTTAAAGAGCGGCGGTAACTCGGTAAAAGCTCCGAATTTCAACCCGCGCGATAAACCATGCATCTCGGTCACTAAAAGCAGAGCTTCTCGCCCACTTTGCCATGGCACACCAGTGGAAGATGGACCGAGCGACTCAGCGTTGTCAAATTCATCAAAAATTCCCATTTTTTGTTAAATCGGTCTGACGAGCGTGACTGGCACACGACTTAACATCATTGGTTCGACCGTTGGGCGTGAATGATGATTATTTCCTCGGTAATGGAATCCTACTAAGACAAAATGACGCAAGGGAGATCCCTATGTATATTTATGCATGAGTTCTCGAACACTGAAGAGTTCTCCGTTACCGAAACCGATGCGGAAAAGTTCGATTCCGCTGAAATCCTGATTCCTGAACCAAAGATAGTTAATTACCAATCATTTAATTAAAAATCCAAGAGAAGGAGGAAATCCAGAAATCCAAGAACCATAAATAAAAATTATAATTTTGGTACTTAAATTTAAAGAACTAAATTTAAATTGATTAATATAAAAAATGTTATACTTAACCAAAACATTAATCAATCAACAAAGCACAGCTGTGTATCTTACAAAATAATGCAAAAACAAACTTAACCTAATCCTAAATGAATCCTGATTCCGCCCGTTCAGATTTCGGAAGTTGTGCGTTGTCAAAGTGAGAGCACGGCGAGGTTCTTGATTTCGAGTGATTTTTTTCAGGCCTTCAGACCGATAAGTTTATCGTTATTTTCATTTTATGACGGAAAATATTAGTATTTCCCACTTGAATTTTGCCCGTCCGATTTTAATTAATACCTGATTTTGTTTAAAATTTGCATCGATATTAAAATTTTGCCCGACGTTTGCGCGAAGAAAAAAAAACTGATATTGAATTAACGCCAATAAAATGAAATAGAACAAGATTCTGACGTCTCTAAAAAAATCGCGGAAAAAGAAAAACTTCAGGATTTTCAGATAGTAAGTTTGAAGTAATTCCACGGAAGTCGATCAGTTTTTTGACACCCCTGAAAATCACTTCTTATAATTTTTATTATACCTGTATACCGACCACATCATAAAAATTCTTCAAGACGTTACATTTTTCACGTAACTTATTTTTCCCTAGATGCTCAATGAATTCATCCTTTCTGCATATCCAGTTTGAACATTTTCTTGTAGGAAGACCGGAAAAAGTACACTCATAAAGCTGGCAAAATCCTGATAGATTCCCGTGAAAATCGGTACATTCTTCAATCTGCGAGAAACGATTATTCCTTAAAGTAGGGAGAACTTAACTCCGACCTTTGACCCGAAAGTTGTTCTTAAAGAGTAAGTTCTTGTCAGGTTTTTACTAAAATTTTGGTGACCTCAAAAAGGCCTTTGTGAGTTAGGGAGGGAATAAAAAACAGGAAAAGATTAGCAGATTTCAGTCGATCGAGTTGGAGACGATGACCTTCCGATTCATTCACAAGTTCAGTTTGTTCCAGTTTCCCGATTTTGTCCATTTAATCAGGCCCTGGAATCCTGGAGTCCCGCGATTTGGCAACCCCGAGGGCGAGATTATATTTGGGCGTGCGATTGCAATGCCGATAAAAGCCTTGGTCCACGGATGCGACATTCGACAAACCTGGCCCATCATTTCAAGACTGTTGACCTTTCTCTATCTGAAATTTTTTTCTCTTCCTCTCTCGCTCCCCCGCCCTCTCCCCTCTCCGAGCTCTCCGTCTCTCTCGCTCTCCCACCCGGCCGCCTGATTTGCATTTCAATGTTCCAATAACGATATGATACCGTTCGAAATGTCAAATGAAATTTATTCTAAAAAGTGTCTTTATATGTTTACACAGCCACACTAATATTTGAGTCAGCGTAAGTATCGACGCTAACACGGACGGAGCCCACTCACACAGGCGCGAGTGCACTCGATTCACGCCGAGGCGCTTCTAAAATAAACGAGAATAATTAACGTCTCTCGGGTTTTTCTCTCTTTTTTTTGGTGATATTGATTGAAAAGGCCATAAATCCTCTGGCCGGAGAGGGCCGGGTTTTTTCGGCCGCTGATTGCGCTAAATATCCACGGGTACATTAGGGTTTTTGACTGTGATGTACGAGTTTACTTCGATGCTTCTAGCCGGAGAAATTGCGCGAGGGCGACCCAATCATGACACCTTCCCCACTCTGCCCTGCTCAAGAAAAACACCGTAAAAGATCCACCAGCTATTGCCCGATTTCCTTTGATAAAATAAGAATTTTCAGCATAGGCGGATCCAGGGGAGGGGCCTAGGGGGCGTGAGCCCCTCTCGTCCGCCCGAAAAAAGGAGGAAGAAAAGGGTAACAAAAGGAGGGAGAAAAGATAAAGGGAGGACGCTTAGATATGGTCATTATGACAAAATTGACTCAATTTGCCTATTAGATGCTTTAAAATTTTGAAAATTTTCTAGAGGGGAGCCCCCTGGATCCCCCTAACGCCAACCCGTTCCAAGCGTCTGGATCCGCCTATGATTTTCAGGAAAGCTTGTGGACATTTTTTCCCATTTATTTTACTTTCACGGAGAATTTTATTCGCACTTTAATTTGAACTATCTGAAAATTCCAAGGAAAAGTATCCAAAAGTTTTTTCAAAATTAAATATTTCACCAGACGAAATTTTCAACAGGAGTTTTTCCAAGTGCGCTTTAACACCTATACCCAAATCTGTTCGGAGACTTTAACGCAGAAGTAGAAAAGTAGCCACCCTCTTTTATCGTATGTGTGTCCAGCACATCAGCCATTTCATAGCACTAGTCTTCGAAAATGACAAAAAATTGATATTAATTTATTACTAACTATCTCGGCAAACTGACACTTCATCAGGCGCTTTGAAAAATGTTTCAATTTTGCCCAATTCCTCCTAGCAAGCTGCATTTTTACAAAGAGGATCTTGGGCATTTCCGGGTGAAAATTTCACTGATTTGTCCTCTGATCTCGTGTAAAAATCAGACAAATTTTGAACAAAAATTGTACATGTACATTCTTATAAAAATTGAATTTTACAACCTTAGAATGGAGTTGCGTTCCTTCTTCCGGGAAACGACGTACTGTGTGGAAGTAAGTCGATTCATTTGCGATATATCGATTGTTCTGCCGTTTGAACCTACGGAAAAGGATCGATAAACAAAGTGTTCGCAACGGACACCTTATCAATCGATTATTTATCACAGTTTCAAATAGCAAATATCGATAATCGATCATCCACACCTCGCCACTGCT